AGGCTTCAGTGAGCTATGATTGTGCCACTGCATTCCAGCCTGGGTGGCAGAGCAAGACCTTATCTCTAAACACACACACACACACACACACACACACACACACACACACACACACACACAAAGTGGTCATGTGACACATTAAGTTTCATTAACTCTGTGGTGATTCTGCCTTGATAGCTTCACTCACATGCTTCTTGCCTCTTGATCATATGATGATGGGTATAACTCCTGGCACAAATCTCTGATAAACTCAGGAAGAAGGCCAAATGTGCAGGTCAGCCAAATCTGCCCCCTGTGGTGCTTTCCTGAAGCTCCACTTGGTGACCTCCACTTACTTAGTGGTTAAAACTGAGTCCTAGGGCCCCTAGCTGCAAGAGAGTCTGGGAGGTTTTTTTGTTTTTTATTTTTTTGAGATGACATCTCACTCTGTTGCCCAGTCTGGAGTGCAGCAGCGCAATCTCAGCTCACTGCAACCTCTGCCTCCTGGGTTCAATCAATTCTCCTGCCTCAGCCTCCCAAGTAGCTGGGACTACAGGTGTGTGGCACCACACCTGGCTAATTTTTTGTATTTTTAGTAGAAACAGGATTTCACTGTTTTAGCCAGGATGGTCTCGATCTTCTGACCTTGTGATCCACCCGCCTCTGCCTCCCAAGGGCTGGGATTACAGGCGTGAGCCACTGCACCCCACCTGGGAGGTAAGTATTTTTAAGTAGACACATTGCTGTGCGAACAAAATCAGTTCTGTTGGTCAGGATGGAGAGGGTGAATATTGTATAGACCACTAACAGTGTCTGCCTCCTCTTTCAGAGAATTTTCCATGTGTACAGAGATAGCTACAGATGATTGATAGATCGATAGAGTGTACCTGCATTTTCTTACAGAAATTCATACTGCTTTATAATGTCTTTAAGTGATGCACAAATACTCAAAACCAATAAATGAGAAATTTTTTTCCCTAAATTAACATGTTGACCAACTTTTACTACTGAGTAAATTGCATTCAGCAAAATAATAGGCTGTCTTTTTTTTACTGTGCTTAAATATGCTGCATTTTCTAGTAGCAGAACGTTCTTTCAAGTAAAATCTGTAACATTGATGAAAGCCGAGTTCTCTGGCATCTGAGTACAGGTGGATGTCAGGAACCCTTGCTCTCCTCTCTCCCCAGACCCTAAAGCATTTCTGCGGAACTCAGTGTAAACAGCTCTGTCTTGGCAGGTTGTCGGACAAAATACCCTTTGAGATCCTCAGCCCGCAAAGGCTTCTTGCAGCTGAGGGGCCGGAGAGTAGGCTGGGTGGCTCACACTGCAACCTAGGGGATGGGGAAGGCCAGGCCAGCAAGAACAGGCTGGGAAGGCTGCACTGCCAGGCCCTGCACACTGAAGCCGCCCCACCGAGGGCCTTTCTTCAGGCATTTTTGCAACAGACCAGGCAGTGCTGGCCCACAGGCCAGGCTCAGTTTCCCCATCACTGGAAAGGAAAAATGCCACCCACTTTCAGTTACTTTCCAGGTTTCTATAGTTTTAAGGAGATGGAATAACTGGCAGGGTCTAAAATATTTTCAAATACGTGACATGTTCTGTGTCTTCTAGGAAGGCATTGGGAGGGGCAAGCTCAGATGACAGTGGCGGTGGGAAGGTAGAGGCAGAGGACTCATCACAGGCTCGAGAAACCCGCATGGTCACTGCTTCCCCTTTTCCAGTTGCCTTCTTAGTGTTTCTCTGTGGGAGCGCTCAGGGATCCTCTGGCACAAGGGACAGGACAAAGAGAACGCAAGAGCCACTCTGGAGCACCATGACAGTAGGCTTAGCCTGCTCTCCCTGGTGAGGAGGGCGTGTAAAGTCACCCTAGATCCTGGATCGGGAAAGTGGAGTGGAAGAGAAGTCAGAGTGGAAGCAGACAGCAGTGTTAAGTGGTTGCGGTGAAATATCCTGCCTTGTTAGATTTCTCTACAGACAGAAAAGGTGATGCAACTGTGATTTCATTTTTATTTACAAGGCTTAGTTGCATTCCATTTCCCCCAAGACAGCAGGCGCCTCCCACTTTCTCCCTCTCCCAGTCTTTTTCCCTTACACTCTCCTTTCCATTCCTTCCCCACCTCCTAGTCAGGGCAGGGGTGTTTGTTTGTTTGAGATGGAGTCTCAGAGTCTCGCTCTGTTGCCCAGTCTGGAGTGCAGTGGCGTGGTCTCGGCTCACTGCAACCTCCACCTCCTGGGTTCAAGTGATTCTCCTGCCTCAGCCTCCTGAGTAGCTGGGATTACAGGTACTTGCCACCACACCCTACTGATTTTTGTATTTTTAGTAGAGATGGGGTTTCACCATGTTGGCCAGGCTGGTCTCGAACTCCTGACCTTGTGAGCCACTGCGCCTGTCAGGGCGGGTTTTGACCCCACCTGCCACTTCCCTGGCTGAGAGCTGTCCCAGGGTCCAGGTGAGGCTCACTGAATCCCATAGGCACCAGGCCTTTTTTCTTCCTCTTCCTACCTCAGATACTACATAAACCCAAAGAACTTTTCAGCAGAAATCAAGAAATCGAAGATGAAATTCCAGTGTTCAAAAAGTTTGCTTTTTGTTTTTTGTTTTACTTTTTGTTTTGAAATAATTATAGATGCATAGGAAGTTGCAAAAGGAATACAGACAATTCCCATGTGCCCTTCACATAATTTCCCCTGGTGCTAATATCTGACGTAACTTACAGCCTAATAGCAAAAGTTGACATTGGTACCATCCATAGACTTTATTCATATTCCACTAATTTTACAGTGATATCCTTTTTAAATAATTTTTCTTTTCTTTTTTTTTTTTTTTTTTTTGAGACAGAGTTTCACTCTTGTTGCCCAGGCTAGAGTACAATGGCGCAATATTGGCTCACCTGCAACCTCCGCCTCCCAAGTTCAAGCGATTCTCTTACCTCAGCCTCCCAAGTAGCTGGGATTACAGGCATGCGCCACCACACCCAGCTAATTTTTATATTTTTAGTAGAGATGGGGTTTCACCATGTTGGCCAGGCTGGTCTTGAACTCCCGACCTTAGGTGATCTGCCCACCTTGGCCTCCCAAAGTGCTAGGATTACAGGCGTGAGCCACTGTACCTGGCACAATTTTTAAGTGTTAACATAATTGTATATTAACACAACATATTACAAAAAAAATTGGCAGAAAAAAAATTCTTAGTTCTACTGTCCTGTATACACACTCTAATTATGTTAAGTCTTAATCATGTTCATTTCCTTCCAGTCTTGCTATGCACTTGTAGCATAACTGAAACGATTGTTTAGCTGGACACAGTGGCATGTACTTCTAATCCCATCCGCTGGGGAGGCTAAGGCAGAAAGATCACTCCACTGTACTTCAGCCTGGGCAACATAGCAAGACCTCGTCTCAAGGAAAAAAAAGCATTCTTTATGTACATTATTATAACCTGATTTTTATTTAATGTTTTAAATCAACATATTTCTCCATAACCTGTTCTTTTTGATTTTGAGACAGAGTCTTGCTCTGTTGCCCAGGCTGGAGTGCAGTGGTGTGATCTCAGCTCACTGCTACCTCCTCCTTCCAGATTCAAGCGATTCTCCGGTCTCGGCCTCCCGAGTAGCTGGAATTATAGGCACTCACCACCATGCCCAGCTAATTTTTGTTTTTTTAGTAGAGAAGGGGTTTCACCATGTTGGCCAGACTGGTCTTGAACACCTGACCTCATGATCCGCCAGCCTCGGCCTCCCAAAGTGCTGGGATTGCAGGCATGAGCCACTGCACCCAGCCCATAACCTGTTCTTTATTGTTTTACTTATTTATTCCCCTGTTACTAGACATTAGATCATTCTAGTTTTACTCTATGATAATTTCATAATGAACAACCTTGTTTACTTTGCACTTTCCATGTTTTGGATTCATTCACTAGTGTTTATACCCAAAGATGTGTGAGCATTTTTATAACTCTTGATAAAATGCCAAATGGCTTTCCAAGCATTGTCTCAAATTTCAGTCTCACTAATTAGTTGTAACTAATGCTTTAAACTATTGGCAGCAGTGGATGGGATCATTTTTCTGTCATTCTTATAATAGTTGAAGAATGATTTTTTTTTGTCAAGTCGTAGTTTCTAATTTCTAGTAAAGTGGATCGTTTTTTTCTTTTACTTACTAGTAATACTTTCTATTTTATGATATGGTTGTTTGAATTCTTTGCTCAGTTATCAGTTTAGTGTTTTACTTACTGATTTGTAGGAGCTCCTTAGCTATGAAAATGTTTACCTTTGGCTGGGCGCAGTGGCTCATGCCTGTAATCCCAGCACTTAGGGAAGCCGAAGTGGATAGATCATAGGATAAGGAGTTCAAGACCAGCCTGACCAATGTGGTGAAACCCCGTCTGTACTAAAATACAAAAAAAAATAAAGAAAAAATTAGCCGAGTGTGGTGGTGTATACCTGTAATCCCAGCTACTTGGGAGGCTGAGGCAGGAGAATCGCTTGAACCTGGGAGGCATAAGTTGCAGTGAGCTGAGATCACGCCATTGCACACCAGCCTAGGTGACAAAAGCAAAACTCCAACTCAAAAAAAAATGTTAATCTTTAATCTGTTAAATTTGCCTCAAATACTTCTTCCCAGTTTGTTGTTTGCCTGTTGCTTTGGTTTATTTTTAACATACTGTGCATGTGAAAATGTTTTTTTTATGAAATCAAATGTCCATCTTGTTTTCCTTTCTCATTTTTACAAATCCAGTCCTTTCCAGAGATATGATGAATTATAGTAGTCACTGCTTTCTTCCTTTTCCTGCAGTGTGACTTTGTTTTAATTTGTACTGCTAAGTGATGTGATAGGGCAAACCCGTTAGCAAAAAAAGGATTTCTCACTCCAATTTCTGTTTACCTGAATAATTGGTGACATGATCCTTCCTTATTTATTTGCAAAGCTTCTCATAATTGTAGAGTAGTTTATTCAGCATATTCTGTTTGCCTCTCCAGTAGAGGATTTCTCCAGCCCGATTTTCTCTTTCCTTCCACCAGATCATGACCAACACAGGGAAGACAAGGCGGAAGGGGCCGGCCGGTGTGCTGCGGGGCGGGGATGAGCCGCTGCGAAGGCCTGTCACCCCCAGTGGCCACAGAAACGGGTACCCAGTGTAAGTCAGGGCTAAAGGAAGCGGGAATTGACTTTCTTAAGCTTTGTTTTGATTAACTGCAGTGTAAGATGTATGTATTTTTAAAATTCAAAATAAAGCATTCATACTGAAAAGCATTTATGTCTTTATTTTGGGGGGATTTTTGGAGGGAAAGAGATCGAGTCCTCCCTTTCCCCAGAATTTTTTTGTTCCAGAAAGAGAAGCGGTTGGATTACAGGATTTTCAGAAGACAAACGTTGGCCAGAGTAATTTCAAAAGAAGGGGCCTGAGAGGAGCCAGGCCCTCTCCAGAAGGACTCCTGTCATGCCTTTTCTGCGGCCTCTCGTCCTAGCGCCAAGCCCTTTGTTGGGATTGGAATGTCACAGTTTAAGACTCGAAATTGATTTATTTTAGATGACTTTTTGGGACAACTGGATGCAGTTTTAGCTGCCAAGCCTTAATTCGTTTTCCATAGCCTTGCTCGTACCCCATTTAGATAAATAAACGTTCAGTCTGCTTGCGTAGAGCCTCTGATCTCCCTGGGGGACTAGGCCCCCTGTGGGGGTAAGGAGCCCCAGATCAGACAGTCCAGTGGGCAGTAGAGAAGCCACTTTTGTGGTTTGGGTGGCCTCTCTTTTCCTATCTGAAGAGAATATTATGGCAAAATATTACAGAGAGCAGGCTAAAAACCTCCAAATCTTCATTCAACGAATAATGATCATGTCATATTTTAGATGAATATACCATGTTTACTTAGTTATTCCCTGAAGCCAGGCAGTTTAGTTCTCTCCAGTCTTACTCTATTGCAATTTTCTAATGAACAACCAGGCACTGGGGACTGAGCATCAACACTCAGAAATGCCTGCCCTCACGGGGCTGTGTGCAGCACGGATCCCAGGGACGCCAGGCAAGACACACCCAGCTCCTTGACACATTCTGTCGCCCAGCTGGGATTTGACATATAAATATTTCGGGGCCCGTGCCATAGATGAGTGCTCGGAGATCTGTTTGGCTTGATTTCATAATTAGGTATGATATACTTGTATTTCTAGGTGTTTATTTTTAATTGCTGATGTATAAACTAGTACACCCTTGTCTCTCTTAAACTTACAAGCGGTGTTTTTAACCTACAGAAAAGTTGAAAGTATATTACAATGAAGAGCTTCCAGTTAACCTTTGTGTGCCCTGTCTCCCTGTCTCGCTCTCCTGTGTGTGTAATACCTAATTTACATGCATATACATGTTTTTGCTGGACTGAGAGAAGAATGCAGGCTTTAGCACATAACCCCATTCTCACAGCTAAGAAATGTAACATTAATAATACAGATACAGTATTCTCACTACTCCTTAATTGTCCCCCAAATGTTCTTTACATCTGAGGGGTTTTGGCTCATTTGATTTTTATCCAGAATAAGCCAGCTATATCAATTACTAGTAAATCTAGTTGATACATATAATATCTTTTTAAATGGAAGTAGTAACGAACTAATAAAATTCCTCTTGCTTGATATGGGAAAGAGGATGCTGACTCATTGTTTTAAAAGTGTTTTTAAATTATTTTTTAAAATAATTAAAACTGTGGTTTCACCGAGAAACCACAGTGGCATAGGCTATTTTAATCAGAGATAAAGATAAAGGGAATCTAATAAATGTAAGGGCTAACCAATGGGCACAGTCAATTCTCGGGTCAGATGTTCTTCTTTGCAGAGAAATTTGAGGGCATTTTCCATGGCTGGGAGCACATCTGGCTCTTCCCTGATTTGTGGGGTGGTCCCATCCAGATCTTTGGCTCTGGCAAGCTGCCAGGTAGTGAGGGTGGCTTGTTTTCCTGAAACCACGGACCTTCCCACTATAAAGATGCAGTCACTTGTCACCAGCTTCCTCCATCAGGTCTCAACAAACATTTGGATCACTTCTCTGCCATGTGTTCTCATTGCGGGGGTTGCGGAAATCAATGAGATGTGGTTGCTGCCCTCAGAAGCAGACAGAGCGAGCTGTGCGGTAGGGAAAGAGCTGGTTGGTGTAATGCAGCGGGCACTCTCCCCAGCCCATGGGCACTCTGGAGGGCTGCAGGATGCTAATGTGCAAGATTCCTACTTCCACCTTCACATCTCAAGCTCACCTCTTAGAAGTTTGAATGCTGGCCGGGCGCGGTGGCTCAAGCCTGTAATCCCAGCACTTTGGGAGGCCGAGGCGGGTGGATCACGAGGTCAAGAGATCGAGACCATCCTGGTCAACATGGTGAAACCCCGTCTCTACTAAAAATACAAAAACATTAGCTGGGCATGGTGGCGCGTGCCTGTAATCCCAGCTACTCAGGAGGTTGAGGCAGGAGAATTGCCTGAACCCAGGAGGCGGAGGTTGCGGTGAGCCGAGATCGCGCCATTGCACTCCAGCCTGGGTAGCAAGAGTGAAACTCCATCTAAAAAAAAAAAAAAAAAAAGAAGAAGTTTGAATGCTGGAGGTCTCAGACATTATTGCCCACAGATAAGAGACTGCTCTATGTGATGTAAGATAGGCATCCTGGCTTATTTTTCTCCATGTAGAGAGCTGCTCTTCTCTACACCACCTATAAACAGCTCTCTCTCTTTTTTTTTTTTTTTTAAGACAGTTTCACTTTTCTCACTCAGGCTAGAGTACAATGGTGCAATCTTGGCTTACCGCAACCTCTGTCCCCTGGGTTCAAGTGATTCTCCAGCCTCAGCCTCCCGAGTAGCTGGGATTACAGGCATGAGCCACCACACCTGGCTAGTTTTGTGTTTTTAGTAGAGATGGGGTTTCTCCACGTTGGTCAGGCTGATCTAGAACTCCTGACCTCAGGTGATCCGCCCGCCTGGGCCTCCCAAAGTGCTGGGATTACAGGTGTGAGCCACCATGCCTGACCATTATTTCTCCACTGATTCGAGGTGCCTCTAATTCTGTATCCCCTCCAATCACCCTAGCTCTCTATTTTGACACATGCTCTAGTTGCCTGTTGTCACACCCGTGTTTATTGCAAAGGTTCTTAGCATATCTAAATATTGCATAGGAAAAGCCCCTCTCACTGCCTGCCTTTGGCCTTCTCTTTCAGAGTTGATTTAACTATGTAGAGACCTTTATTTTTCCATAAGCATTTAAAAATAAGTCTAGCAACTTCCTTAAAAAAGTTGTTTTAAGGGTCAGGCACGGTGGCTCACACCTGTAATCCCAGCACTCTGGGAGGTTGAGGCAGGTGAATCACGAGCTTAGGAGTTCAAGACCAGCCTGTCCAACATGGTGAAACCCTGTCTCTACTAAAAATACAAAAATTAGCTGGTGGTAGTGGTGGGCGCCACTCGGGAGGCTAAGGCAGGAGAATCGCTTGAACCCAGGAGGCAGAGGTTACAGTGAGCTAAGATTGCAACACTGCACTCCAGCCTGGGCAACAGTGAGACTGCATCTCAAAAAAAAAAAAAAAAAAAAGGAAAAAAGATTCTTTTAGGATTTTGATTAGTATCACCTTAAATCTATGTAATGTTTTGGAGATAACTGAAATCTTGGCAATGTTAAGTCACTGTGCAGTATTGCATTATATTAATTTTATGTTAAGAGAATGATGGTCCCTCAAAGATATCCAGATTGCGGTCCTCATAACCTGTGACTGCATTACGTTACATGGCAGAAAGGACTTTGGGGATGTGATTAAGTTAACGACCTAGGGAGAGATGATTCTGGATAATCTGGGTGGACTCAATGAAACCACAAGGGTCCTTACTGAAGGGAGCCAGGTGCGTCAGAAACAAAAGATGTGACAACTGTGTCAGAAGTCTGAGTGCTGCAAGGCCATGAGCCGAGGAATGCAGACACCCTCTGGAAACAGGAAAAAGTGAAATAAATTCTCTCCTAGAGCCTCCAGAAACAATGCAGCCCTGTTGACCCATCAGCAGATGAACTCTTGACCTCCATAATGGTGACACAAATTTGTGTTGTTTTAAGTCACTAAGTTTGTGGTAAGACTGCAAATTATGAAACAACTACAGGAAGACACTGGGAAGTATCTCCAGGACATTGTTGTGGGCAAAAATTTCTTGAGTAACAACCCACAACCAAAGCAAAAATGAACAAATGGGATCACATCAAGTTAAAAAGCTTCTATAGCAAAGGAACCAATCAATAAGGTGAAGAGACAGCCGACAGAATGGCAGGAAATATTTGCACACTACCCATCTGACAAGGAGTTAACAATCAGAATTAAAAACGAACTCAAACAACTGTATAGGAAAAGTCTAATAGTCAGATTAAAAAATGGACAAAAGAGGCCAGGCGTGGTGGCTCATGCCTATAATTCCAGCACTTTGGCAAGCCAAGGCAGGCAGATCATCTCAGGTCAGGAGTTCGAGACCAGCCTGGCCAACATGATGAAACCCCGTCACTACTAAAAATACAAAAAATTAGCCGGGCATAGTGACAGGTGCCTGTAATCCCAGCTACTAAAGAGGCTGAGGCAGGAGAATCGCTTGAACCTGGGAAGGCGGAGGTTGCAGTGAGCTGAGATCACCACTGCACTCCAGCCTAGGCAACAA